GTTTAGGGTTTAGGGTTTGATGTTTAGGGTTTAGGGTTTGATGTTTAGGGTTTAGGGTTTAGGCGGCTGCACACTGCGACTCGTTGAGTGATGACGTCGGTCTCCTCTGCACCTCAACTATCCTATGGATAGCTAGCTAGCTAGCTATCCAGCTAGCTAGCTATCCAGCTAACTAGCTATATTCAGCTATGCATCCAGCTATCTAGCTAGTTATATTCAGCGGTGCAGCTAGCTAGCTGAATAGCTAGCTAGCCTCCCAGGCATCCACCTATTCAGCTAGCTAACTGCCCAGCTAGATAGCCCAAGAGGCGGTGTGGCTAGCTAGCTAGCTAGCTAGCCAGCTAGCTATGTAACTGTATAGCTAGCTAGCTGGATAGCTAGCTAGCTGTGTAGCTAGCTAGGTGGATAGCTGCATGTAAACGAAGTAAGAAAGAAATCAGTCGCAGTATCTGCTAGTCTGTATACAGAAGGTGCAACAGCAGCAGCAGCAGCAAAAGTTGCCGCCGCTGCTGCTGCTGCTGCTGCTACTGCTGCTGCTGCCGCAGCTACTTCTTGATGCATTGGCTATGCGAGGAAAACCCAGACAAGATATTGACAAAAAAGCCAACGGCTGCTGCTGCTGTTGCTGCTGCTGCTGCTGCTGCAGTGCGTTTTGTTACCCGCAAGAGCAGCAACAGGCAGCAGCAGCAGCAGCAGCAGCAGCAAGCAGACTACTTTAGTTAAGTAATGTGCTGTTGCTGCACATTTGTATGTCTGACAATGCGCATTTTTCTCCTTTCGTTTTCCTGCGTTTGCTGCTGCTGCTGTTGCTGCTGCTGCTGCTGCTGCTGCTGCTGCTGCTGCTGCTGCAGCTGCTGCTGATGCTGCTGCTGCTGTGCCCCCCTCTTCCTCTGCTTTTTCTGCCTGTCTATGAACACTGTCGCATTCTACGTCCTGCACACCATCTGCTGCTGCTGCATTTCCTGCTGCTGCTGCTGCTGCTGCTGCTGCTGCCTCAGCCTGTCTACGAGGCAGCAAATAAAAGCGAAGAGGTTTTGCTGTTGGGAAGAGAGACAAATCTTTTATGTTCAAAGTGCAAGACGCAGCGTTGAACTGACACGTGTAAAACCTGAATCACAAACCCTAAACCCTAAACCCTAAACCCTAAACACTAAACCCTAAACCCTAAACCCTAAACCCTAAACCCTTAACCCTAAACAACAAACAACAAACAACAAACGGCGAGCCCTATACAATAAACAATAAACAATTATCAGCAAACCCTAAACCCTCAACAACAAACCCTAAACCATAAACCCTAAACCCTAAGCAGCGGTTAACGAACAATACAAAAAAAGAATAAGCCCTAAACCCTAAACCCTAAACCCTAAGCCTTAAACCCTAAACCCTCGTGTTAGGCACCTGAAGAAGGCCCGCAGCAGCTGCAGCAGCGTGGGGTTGTGCTGCTGCAGCAGCACAACAGAACCTAATAAAGCTGTGAAGTGTCTGCGGATATCAGCAGCAGCAGCAGCAGCAGCAGGAGGCATCAGCTGCTGCGCGAAGACAATACGCTTAGAATCGATTCGCAGCTGCTGCACTGTCTCTGCTGCTGCTGCAGCAGCAGCAGCAGGCTGTCCCAGCCCGTGCTTGTACCGGCTCATCTTAAATGCTGCTGCTGTTGCTGCTGCTGCTGCTGCTGTTGCACTTGTTGCTAGCTGATGGAGACAATATGCTTCTAAAGATAAACCCTCAATATCTTCCGGCCATTCGCTGCTTCCGCATGCAGTCCAGGGCCCGCAGCTGCATACCCTGCTGCTGCTGCTGCTGCTGCTGCTGCTGCTGCTCTGAGTAGCAGATAAAGACAGATAGCCGCCACTAAGGGGTTTATTTAACCCTCTCTGAGGATCGCAGAAGAAGACATCAGCAGATGGATCTTCAGGAAGTGCATTGAGAGGATAAGGAGTCAAACCCCCACACGCCAAACACTGCTGCTGCTGCTGCTGCTGCTGCTGCTGCTGCTGCTGCAGCTGCTGCTCGTGCTGCGGAAGACGCAGCTGCAGATTCGGTAGCAGCGGCAGCCACTGAGGGTCTCCTACAGCCCAACATACTTCTAACAACTGTCCCCAGGTCCCTTGCTGCTCTGGCAAGCACCTCATCTGCTGCTGCTGCTGCTGCTGCTGCTGCTGCTGCTGTGGGGCTTGAAAGAGACAGCGCTGCAGGAAGTATATCCCAGCCAACTGCCACGAATAACTGTTAGTGAAGCCCTTCGCTCCGTCTCTGACCCCACACACATCAGCAGCAAACAAATACGCACTGCAGCAGCAGCAGCAGCAGCAGCAGCAACCAGAAGCAGCAGCACCAGCGGCAGAGAAGGCAGCAGGAGCTGCTGCAATAACGGTCTCAATGACACCCGCATTAATGCTTCAAGCAGAAACAACAGCAGCAGCAGCAGCAGCAGTAGCACCAACAGCAACAGCAGCAGCAACACCACCATCAGCAGCAAAAGCAGCAGCAGCAGAAG